GAGTTAATGTCAATACTTGTAATGCCAATGAAGTAAGTGTATGATACATGACACTATAATCGAGTGCATTACTAACGTTGTAGATGGTTGATATAATCAGGCTTATTTGTGCCTTTAAATCGACGAATTTCCGTTGTAAGGCGTCTTGAGTTTATTTCAAAATATTCAGTGTTGCGACAGTATTCATAACTCGAATCTAAATAGCCAAATAAGTAATTAGCCACATTTTCAATAATATTTAAGGCTCTCCGTTTAGGTCTTGCAAAGACTTTTGTTTCCGACCTGGTCGAATCCCAGGCGCTACAAAGAGATGAAAAATTAAAGTATTTTACAATGTTCCATTAACTTGACATGATTTTTGTGGTTCCAATGTGTTCGAAATATAGTCCAGGTGTAATTAACTATACGACGATTGGACTATATGTGGGTGCAGTTACGGAACAGTTCCTTAAGATCGTTAGCAAGACATTTCCTACACTTGGGAAATCACTTTTTGGGAGTGCTATTTGAGGCATTCAACGTAGGAACCTTGATTGCTGCTTCATTTATACGTATGGGTCCCTCGGACTTGCTTTTCTCGATTGGTTTGCTTGGCTCGATAGTCGTTGTCGTCCAATATGTTTATTACGGACGTGAGATTCTTGCATTAAGAGTCTTATTAATAGACAATCTAGTAGCAAGACTAGGTGCATCGCGTCAAATAAAAGTGAGAAAGATTAAAGTCGTCTGCCAATTCTTAAAAGATCTTATTAATTAATAAATGCAAATCTGAAATGGAACTAGTTTTGCTGGCTTCTAAGCCCTTGCGAATTAATTTTGATTATTCCGGCGTATCAAGAACGTTTCAACGCTACACTGGATAACTGCAACTCATTCTGTTTTAATAATGCCTTCCAGAGAATTTGCGTGCAACGAATATCATAAACAGTCATTCTTTCAAATTTGGCAAATGAATTCTTATGGTCGATACTATGTACGCAATGTGGTTTTTTGGAATTTATTATTAGTGTATGGATTGATCTCTACTTTGCATTCCGATCTGGTTGTAAATGGAGCGGGCCAAAGTGACTGGTGTCCGTGTAAGAGCATAGGCCCATAAAACCATAAGTTGCAGCTACTGAATTCAGATGCTTCAATGCCACGTGATAGTATATCGGGTTATCCTTTATCCTTTGATCTTACATGCAGCCACTGTCCTTTGTCGGAAATTTTAAGAATTTTTGTAATCCTGGCTGCCAATGCGTTAATCCATGCTAGCACAATTTTCGAATCTGTCCTCAAATATGTTTTAGTATCTGGCAACTGCATGCAATTTTTTACTTTAACCAATAATTGAGCTGTTAGTAAAGCGGCACATAGTTCTAACTTTGAAGTTCAGGTTTTTAATTGGGGCCAACTATGATTTAGCGCAAAGGAAGCGTATAATGAATTGTCCGTACTGAGTAATAGAACTTCGGTACATAACTACGTAGTAAGCTCGTTCTGAAGCATCGGCAAATGTATCGTAATTTCATTAATTCTATTAATAAGTAAGCTCGTTAGAAAATTCTTCGTTCCAATCAAGTTTTAGCGTCCACAAATGTTGCAAAAACAACTTTGCTTCCACTGTAACAGGACTCACAAGCCCAAGTGGATCAAATATCTAAGAAATGTCGGATGATATACTTCTTTTTGTATATTTGACTTGTTCGTTTTTGTTTATTTGTATCTTAAATTTATCTGTTGTTAGGATCCACACTTAACCCAATGTGTTAATGTTACCGCATTTCATCGTATTAAAATCTGATTGTACGTCTATATCGTAAAAATGCAACCGTTCAATTGGTTATGTATGATTGCCACACCATTTGCGAAGCTTAAAGCCACCATTGTGCTATAGTTTTATTAGCTCGTTTCGTGCATGTAATGATTTAGACATACTGTTGAACCCTGTCATAACGTCATCTACGTTAAAATTTGTTTTGACGATAGCTGCAGCTGCCGGGTGTCGATTTTTTTCAATTAAAACCAACCGTTGTGAGCATTTAATGGCGAGATACGCTCCTGACGACATTACATAAGTTGACAAGTTCGGAGAGGCTTATTATCATTGTCTTTCCATAAAATAAGAATGATAAAGCAAAAAATATCACGGATGGATTACGTCATCTGGGTTCATTTCACTCAAATGTGCCAGGTTTATGTAATCTTGCATAACACTTCGTTCAATAATGTGGGTGACTGACACATAGATGGCGGCACTAATACTAAATAAATATTTTTTTTCGAAAGTGGCAACCTTTTTAGGCTTACTGTCAAAATCATATGTTAATCCGACCATTTGTTTACAAGTTACAGTGCTTTAAGTGACGCTACTTTTGAGTTTTCAAAAAAAAATGAATTCAAAGCAATTCCGTGTGCTGATTTATCATTGTTTTTTAATAAAAAAAATATTGTTCAATGCCAGGAATGGCTTGAAAAACATTATTCGGACTCTGCTCCATCAAAAAAAAGCATTTGTTATTGGTATGCCGAATTCAAACGTGGTCGTACAGACACCGATGACATTTCATCTACTGGACGGCCAAATGACGCTGTTATTCAGGAAAACGTTGAAAAAACACTGAAAATCATTAAGTCCGACCATAAAGTGAAAGTGAGGGAGATTGCTGACATTCTACAGATATCAGCAGGCAGTTTACATATCATAATACACGAACATTTGGGTATGAAAAAGGTGTTTTCCAAATGGGTGCCGCGTTTGCTCACACCGGAGCAAAAACAACAACGAATCGATGATTCAAAGAGCTGTTTGGACATGTTTATGCGCAATAAGTCGGAGTTTTTGCGTCGGCACATCATGATGGATGAAACATGGATCTACCATTTCACTCCAGAGTCAAATCGGCAGTCTGCTAAGTGGCATGCAGCCGGTGAAAGCCGCCCAAAGCGACCAAAGACGAAGCAGTTGGCTGGCAAGGTTATGGCGTCTGTATTTTGGGATGCGCATGGAATAATATTCATTGAACGAATTGAGCTACGAATTGCTGCCGCACCCACCGTATTCTCCAGATCTGGCCCTCAGCGACTACTGGCTCTTCGCAGACCTCAAAAGATGCTCCGTGGTAAGAGATTTGGCTCAAATGATGAAATAATCGCCGAAACTAACGCCTATTTTGAATGCAAAGAAAAATCGTTTTACAAAGGCGGTATCGAAAAATTGCAAAAGCGGTGGAATGATTGTATCTCATTAAAAGGGGACTATGGTGATGAATAAAAACGAATTTTGCCAAAAAAATGTGTTTTAATTAGTTAGTCACACACATTATTGAACGAAGTGTTAAATTTACTGTATGCTATTTTAAACTCAGGGTCTCCGTTGAGACGTCGTTCTAAAGAGAAAAAACGTTTGATCCGACGAACCTTGTTGTATCTTCTCTAGTTCCCAAAATTTTTGCAGGTCGAGTTCTATATTATTTGTAAGAGCACTGCAGATCGATGCAAGTAATATAGAAGATCCAGTGATACGGCCAGCAAAACACAATTTATTGTAGAATCGAAGAGTTATTTTGTAACAAAATTCGTCTTAGCAGAACCATGTCGTTGTATAATTCAAATAAGAATTAATTCCATAATAATAATAATATAATTCCAATGCCAATAAGAATATCTACTGGGTCTGGTTTATTGAATTGGGCATCAGCTAGCACAATTCCTTCTAATATAGCTCAATTTGATGTATCTTATTTAATTTGCAACTATTGTTGGCAACATATTTGCTTTTATTTTAAATTTTCAGTCAGTTATACTTGATGATATATGTACGTACCACTAAAATTGAGCGAGCTTACCAATTGAATCAGCCCAAGTTTTGGTGCTGCTCGCTCCATTATAAGGTTTACTTGTCAGTCTGAATCCAATAAGGCACGCATCTTGCATTCTACACCCTGAGAATTTAGCACCGTCATTATTACAGTTCCTAGTAAAGCATAAAATTTCTTCAACTCTCTAGATCTACTGGTTGCAAGTGTATCTGCTGCATGACCACTTGTTTATCGTTATATGTATCGTTAATTATTGCATTTCGCGATGAATCAGCACTGATCTGAGACTTGCCATTGGTGGCATAAAATTCATGTGAGATTGTGTGATCCTCCCCTTGTAATTTTTACAAGGGGAGGATTTATGATCTCCCTTGCATACCAAACGCTTTGATGATCTATTTGTAGTATTCAAACACGGCAATTAATTCCGAGATTTTTAAGACCAAGAATGCACTTAAAAGTTGGGTCGTGAAGTCGCTTGATTGCCTCAGAGCTTTAGGACTCTGATTGCCTCATGTTTTGTTGAAAAATAAGTTTCACAATAAAGGCTTTTACAAGAAGCCGTTTATTATCGTAGCAAAGCAAAGTAAACTCCAGGCACTACCAAAATTATCCTCAGATACGATTTAATGAGCAGATAAAAAAATTTTGGCAATTCGCAAGTGATTGTTTATTTACCACTTCATTGAATAATTGAATTGAATAAGAATAGTCACTCTTGGTAACTGTATTGTTGCAGATGATAGTGATGGAACTTTCTAAGAAAATCGAAGCGTGATTAATCCTGTGTGAACTAAGTTTATCAGCTTAGTCCCCGATAAGGACACCGATAACCACGATAACATCAGCTCTTTTAATGCATTTAAAAAAATCATCACTAATTACATATTCTGTAGCAGCATTCGGCATAGTGATTCAAGAGCATTTATTTGACATATCATTATATAGAATACACTCAGATAATATTATATTGATACCTAAATTGGTAAATTTATTGCTTAGAATAAACCGGTGACAAGTTTATTTTGCGACTCCAACATTCTCTTTCACTTTTTGTTTTAGTCTAGTGTCACTGATTTACCATATGATTTCATCATTTCGCCTTTACCATCTGTCCATCGATACTATAAATCGTGAAAAACATATCGCATAACAAATAAGTTATTCCAAAAAATTTACTTATATTTTCTCTTGCAGGTTTGGTTTCAAAACCGAAGAGCCAAATGTAGGAAGCATGAAAATCAAATGCAGAAAGGTAATGTAAAATAATTAAAATCTTTATTTTAAAAAACAAACAAATAAAATATTAAGTTAATTATTAAACTAATATTAAACTATAACAGTGTACTTTGAACACCGTAAATATTTTATAGTTTAATTGTAACTGTTCAAGAAGATTAGCGACAGATACAGGGGGAAATTATTTACAACAATCTGGTATGCATGCGGTAACTATACTGTCTATACTGGGATAGCTCATGGTTTTCAAGAGGTGCTACAGGAATATTTTTTTGTAACCGTAAATTTTTTCGTAATATAAATTTTAAACACTGGTTATTTTTGGTTTAATTCTTAATTTTTTTTTTCTTAGTTTATTATATAATATAAGTTATTATATAAAAAGTATATTAGAAAATAGATCAACGTTACCGACTGGGCCACGTTGCTAGGTTATTAGATCAATGTTACTGACTGGGCTATGTTGCTAGGTAAGGAAATCAACATTACCGTCTAGGTCACGTTGCTAAGTTAGGAGATCAAATTTACGTCTGCGTTACGTTGCTAGGTTATAAAATCAACGTTACCGACTAGATCACGTTGCTAGGTTATAAGATCAACGTTATCGACTAGGCCACGTTGCAAGGTATGGTTAATCCTTACCGACTAGGCCGCGTTGGTATGTTACAGGAAATTAACCAAATTATCTTGTCCAAATAATCTTTGCGAGTTCTCCAAAGTATCTGTTGACAATGCTCCTACTAAGTGTCCTGCTGTAAGGGCAATAACGATGTGAACTGCTGTGAGTCCTGTAACCCGCTGTAACCGTTGTGACTATGTGAGTTGTTACACGTACTGCGACGATGTGCACTGTTCTAAGTGCTGCGACGAAGCGACGAAGTGCTGCAGTAGCACCTGTATTTAGAAATTATCATTATTGACGAACTCATATGGAAGTTGTTCGAAATGAAAGGAAGGATTGCATACCGGTCAACAAAGGTGCCTATATAAATCAAAAAACATCTTTACTTTACTATGTCAATGTCAACAGCGACGTGAATCCCACGATTCTCAGTATATTAATTTGTTGACAGAAAGTACTTTGTTTTCTCCTCATTTACCAAAAGACCCATTTGTTTCGCTTGTTTTTTTAAGTTGGATAATGCCGCACTGACGACGCGGGTCTTCAGACCAATGTCGTCAATATCGTCGGCATATGCAAGCAGCATTACACTTTTGTAGATTATTGTGCCAGTGCGGTTTAAATCTGCTCATCGAATTATCGTTTCAAACATTAGGTTAAAGTAATCACACGACAAGGAATCACCCTGTCTGAAACCTAGTTTGGTATCAAACGGCTCGGAGAGGTTCTTCCCGTTTCTAACAGAGGTGGTGGTGTTGTTCAACGTCATTTTACATAGCCGTATAAGTTTTGCTGGGATACAAAATTTAAACATAGCAGAATGAAGAGTGCTTCTAGTCATAGTGTGCTCGGCGTCGACAAATGAATTCGACAAATAGATAGATTGCATTGATTAGCTTTTATTGGATCTTCTCTAAGATTTGATGCACTGTGAATATTTGGTCTAGGGCAAATTTATGAGGTTGAAAGCCACACTAATAAGGTCCAATCAGTTTGTTAACGACTGGCTTTAATTTTTCACATAGTATGTTTGATAGAATCTTCAATACGATATTTAAAAGCATGATCCTATGATAATTGGCGCATTTTGCAGAATTACTTTTTTTGTGGATTGGGCAAAGCACAGTTAAGTCGTTGGTCCAATCATTGGTTGGTCATACATTTTAATAGCTCTTCGCCACAAACTTCAAACAGCAAAGCCGGTAAACCATCGGTGACTTCAGTTTTGTTGTTTTTGAGCAGTATTATAGCTATTTGAATTTCATTATGATCGGAAAGCGAGACAATTATTTCATCGTCAACGATTGAATATTCTTGATCATATTTACTTTCTTTCACATCCCTACAATCTACCACCTAAGGAAAGCGTTCCTTTTAATTTTTTGACTTTTGTGAGCAGAGGTAACCTATTTAGAAAAATTTTTAAAGAATTTACCACAATAAGCACATAAATACCCACATGACATCACGAATAATGACTACTAAAAATACTACTTAAGCAAGAAAAAGCGGTCATTGCACTAACACAAAACTTATAAAAAGTGGAAATGCTGAAGACGAAGAAGCGGCAGTCAAGAATTGATAGGGGTATTCACTCTCTCTTGTAAACTCATTGCAGGGAGCACGAAATGCAAGAATGCTATGCAAAAACTGCAAGACTGCGAGAACACCTCTGTTGCAGAATTGTATCATCAAAATGAATCAGCTGTTTTTGCAGTCGATTCACATTGAGCAAAGAAAAATAAAAGTATAACAATGCCGCGAACAAGTGAAATACAAAAATGTATAGATTTTTTAATTGAAAATAGTACTTTTAATATTCTGATTGAAGGTATTAACATGTTGTTAATGTAGTTTTCACTACTATATAGTTTCTATTTGTTAGATGATGCAAATTACTGGGAAGTGATGGAGCAATTAAATGAAGACCTTTTGTTTACTTTAGTAAACCATCACAGAAATCACCAACCCGTACCAAAATCTTCAAGAATTTGATGAAGGCCGTTTTTGTCAGATGCTTAGAGTAAATTGGAACGTATTTTCCTTAATAGTCTCACTAATAAACTATTAAGGATTGCTATTGTTTTATATCGTTTGGGTTCATCAGGCGAAAATGCGGCTATTCGTAAAGTCGCTACACTATTTGTTGTTGGAGATATATGTAATAATAATATAATATAAAAATAATTAGTATAATAAAAATATAACTAATTCTTAATTTATTATTGTTATTTGTTATATTTTTTATCGAGGGGGGTAGTGGGGTTTTGCACAGCAGAACGCACGACTTTCGGTGCAGAGCTGGATGATGTGTTGTCTGCAGACGATTCAATAAAAAAAACTTCATTGCCTAGCGCAGAACTAGTTGGTGGCTATGGCAATGTTTCCGTACAAAATTAGACATGCGTCCAAACACTTCATTCAATAGTTCAAAATGTGAACAAATTTTCGTAAGTTTCGCTGAAATTGATAAATAGATAAATTAATTCACAAATGTATATGTATATAATATTATATTTGTGAAAACTTAATTAATGGTCACATCGATTTAAATTATTGAACGAAACGCATGTATATAGCATAGCCATAGATTAACATATCTCGAAATTTTACTAACAGTCAATTCATATTTAAAAATGAGAAGCAACAAATGACAAAACAGCTGATTTCCGCCATTTCTGGTTTGTTGCAAGCAAATATACATAGGTTTCAGCATTGGAAGATTGCACGCAATTGCACGAAATTTTGTGCGTGTATTTTGTTGTTGTTATTTGCATTCTCGTACAATCTGTGCATTTCGTGCACCTTGCAATGAGTTTGCAAGAGAGAGTGAATACCCCTGATGTTTTAATGTGCAAAAAAAATCCTTAAACACTAAAGCCAAATTTGAACTTGCAGGATTTGACGTTGCGATTTAATGTATGGAATGTACTATATTTGTTAACACTTCAAGTAGTCCAAAAAAACTAACGGCAATTTGCCTTTTGTACCATCACATATTTTTAATAAATCGTTAACAAAATCGTAAATGAGACGATAACAATTTGAGAACTGCAATTTAATTATAAACGAAGTGTTTTGATCTTCGTCTAATACGCCAATCCATTTTAATAACCTTTCGCTTGTGTTTCTTTTTGGCTTTATTTTGATGTGCTTATTCAATCTAAACTTAGCTTCAAGACTTATGCTAAAATATTGAACAGTATTTGCGTATAGAATTGGAGTTTCTAGTAGCATTATTAGATGATAATTTGATGAACAGGGATGTTTCTGTAGCTAATTTGTGACAAGTCAACAGATACATTTCTGTTGACCACATAAGCCAAATCCAAATAAAAACATTTATTTAACAATTTAAATTTTGTTTCCCAATTTCAACTTAGCGCAAAGAAAATTATTAAGAAAACTATAACAATCGAAAGTTATCCAAAATTCTTCAAGTATTTATTTCAAATATATTTTTCGTTAACAAATAAAGAAAGAGTACATAATAAAAATAAAACCATATTCACGTCATTTATTAATCACTGTCCTGTATTTGCCAACTCCTTAAGTTCATGTTTTTTGCAATATTCATAAATAAAGAGCATGCGCATAAATGATAATAGTTTGGTTCATACCCTTTTTTATTCCACTCGGTTTACATGACTAATAAATCCTAGTGGGTAGTATACATATTACGTTGTTTGAAAAAATATAGTTTTAAGTTCATGGACTAAGTTAATAGTTCAATAATTGCTAATTGCTATAATTTTTTTTCTATGATTTGTCTATGATTGACCAAATTGTTGTACCTCTAATTGTTTTGTGATTCATTCAAAGATTTTATTTAAAAAAGAATACTAAAAGCAACTAAAAGACTAGGCACCAATCGAACCCTTCCGTTGATGAGGTGCTCCTTCAAGCTAAGCATCAATCATGTATTAGGAGTATAAACTGTTAAATAATTTACTAAAAGTAAATATATATTATAACGATTTTAAAATTAATTATCTATTTTAAAGCGCCTTTTAACAATTTTTTCCTAAATTTCCTCTCAACCAAAAAAAGGAATAAGTTATTATTACACATCAGAATATAATTTTAATTTCGATATTTTACTTTGTCTACATTTAGACTAGACTAGACTAGCATATTTTTATACGAATTTTGCATGAAAAATGACACATATTACTGCTATTTGCTATGACACAATATTCAGACTATAGTTTAGATTATAACTTTTTAGAACCATATTTACTGTACATTTGATGTAGCAAATTAAAGTTATATCCCACTGAACACTCACTTCAATGCAAATATGTATACACAAAAGATTCTGCACAGAATAACATTCAATTGATTTTTCAACCAACCTCAAACTTTTATTTTGAGGTTAAAGCGTTATATTTGAACGACAAACTAAAAGCTCGAACGAAAAGAAATATGCATACACAGCGGGACATAGATTACTTCCCAACTGAACATATCGAAAAAAATAATGCGACAAATACTCAAATAACAAGCAATAACTTTTAACTTCTACAAACGAAAGTGACGGTATCAAATTAAAAAAAATAAGCTCAACAGGCCAATGTATCTGCTGTGTTCGATTTTTTTAGCTGCATGAGAACTTAAAATGATAATGGAAGACAAAAATATTGTTGGAATAAAATTTTTTTTATTATAATCTGGTAAAGAATTTTATGGCGTTAATTTTTTGAATATGATATCCATTCAGCGGCATATATCCGCCGCGGCTACGGGTTACATGGTTCATTCGATCAGCCCAATTTTTTACTATTTTATCCAATAAATATAGCTATATGAGATCGATTGTGTCAATGATGGTATGAACATTGGGTTCCAATGCTTCAAGAGTTGCTAGTTTTTTAGTTTGTCGGCATAAACCAATGATTTAATGACTAATGATAGTCCCATAAAGAGTAATTAGTCCTTTCTCAGTTCTCTCCTCAATGTTCCTTCTCCAATATAGTTAGGAGTCAAGGACGACGTTAACGTATTTAGCCTCCGAGGAAAGATTCAGTGCAATTTCATCTAGTTTGGTCAAGGTGAAAGCATGTATTTTGGTTTTCCGTTACTTTCAGTCCATCAAAAAATTTTCAAAAATGCCAATTCTATGCGCTCACTAATCGTTGACAAATATTTGCCTGGGATTAAAATGCCAACGTAGTCGTTGAAGGCAACAACTTTTGCCATGAAAATCAATAGGATTTCGTCGACTACCAAAAGTCAGAAAAGAGGCTGTGTGGAGTATCTCTTGAGTCCTCTTGATTTACGGAGCCCGTTCTCATATTAGTGTTGATGACTCTACTCTCAATCATTGGACCAATCCATACTACTATGAAATACTCGACTCCACTTTTCCGTAGCGCTTCTCGGATCGCATTCGTATTTACGTTATTGAAACCTCCTTCGATATCAAGGAAACCTGCCAAGGTGTACTTCTTTAGTTCGAGTAACCTTTCAATAATGCCAACCACTGTCTATTGTGCGGATTTTGATTTTTCCTTTCATATGTAAGTAAATATGTCTCTGTAATGTTTTCAAAATAAATTCCTGTGGGTTTGGTCTTAAAGCTTCAATTTTTAACCGCGTTCGATAAATTCACTTTATTTTCAATCGAAGCGATATCCTTAACGTACTTTGTTTCGACTTTGGCTTGCCCTTGTTCTCCTGTTGAAATAGCTGTAGCGTGATCCTTTTCAAACTTTTCTACAGCCTTTTCATGCTTCCAGACTAATTCCTTCGACCTCTTTGTGAAAGAGGAAGAGTTTCTCGTATGTTGTTAACCTGTGATAACGAGTCATCCTCGGTTGCTGCATCGATGCGCAAGTTCAAAAATCGAGATCTAATTTGATCTCTCTCAATCTTCCCTTCCAAGACTCCATTCCTCCCAAAGTTGGCTTGGAGACCGCGCCCTATCCAGTTTTAGTATTTGAAATTAAAATAGAATCTGGATTTGCATTTAAATTTGAAATTGAAATTGAAACTAAAGAAAGATCACAGGATATCATTTTGCACCGTAACATTAGAATTTTTTGATGACATTAGCCATGCAAGTACCTCCTCCCTGTAGGGTTACATTATAAGTCCGCCACCCCAAGCACAAAAAGACTCGGACTCAACCGCCTCTAACATTGAGAAAAAAGACGTCGTTGTGTGCCGCCCCTATTTTGGGAAAAACAAACGCACACGCAGGCAGCTTTTAGTTGGTTGCTCAGCAGGCGGCGTGTCTAACATGGGAAATCTTACCTGGAGGTAGCATATCATTGTATGGCCACCCTCGTTAATGAAACCCGACAATTCACTGCAGCACTAGGACCCCACAACACGACAAGGTACCTACCATGTGGGGGTATGTCTTACCTCGAGAATGTTCTAAGCTCTATCCCGCAGTGGTCGCAGTGGTCGCAGTGGTAATATATTAATTTGATTTGGATTGGTTCAAACAACTAAGAGATTATATAATAATACAAGCCAGCGATAGCTTTTCGAGTGTTATTGCTCAGCACATATGTCGGAGCAGAATGTTATAGCATAGTGAAGTTACTTCTGATTTCAAACTGTTCCACAATGATTGCTTTTCCGAATGCAGATGGAAATATTTCTGAGATATGGTATGCTTTTCGTAAGACAGGGACAATTATCACAGTCACTGTTACTGAAAATTACTCGCTGATATAACAGTTCGCTATATGGGGCGAACTAACGTAATACGTTCTGATATGAAGTTTCTGTTCTTCGCTGATCTTTTAGCACCAGCTCAGTCATTAAGGTAATGTTATTGATTGCTAACTGCGATTCAAGACGTTCCACATGCTGATTCTGAGAAGAATTCAAGATCATTAATAATTCCTTTTTAACTTGCAATTTCAAACATAAACAAAATAAATATTTATAAATAAAAACTGGTGTTCTTGTATTCATTATTCGTTTTTTGATTATATCTACGTTGTTTACTTACAATCATTTTAAATCGTTTAAATCGTTACATTTCAATTCTGCCAAACTACGCATGAATTGACATTAGTTTGTTTGCTCAGCTGATTGCAAGCGAAGAAGTGCAAATTCGTTGCATATACGAAGATCAATCAGTGTTTCAATTGTTTTAATTAATAACTGGCGTTACGCCAGTTAAGAAGCAATGTGATGCTTGTGATGATTCGAAATGTCACTCTCAATCCATAACAAATAAAATGTTTTCTTTTCTATTGTAGTCGATTAACAATATCGTCAGCTAATTTATCACAATTCACTAATGATAAACTCAAATCTAACTTTTAGTAATCGTTGTGACGACGTAACTTAAAACGAATTATGAGTGTGATTATATAAGACAAATTATTATGTACATACAAATGAACAGTAAGTATTGTAGTAAACTGTTGCACTAAGCTGAGCCTTAAAACTTTTAATATTAATAAAAACGTACCTGTAGAGCAATTATATTTAAGTTCAAAATATTTAATACTAAATATTATATTAAAAATATTAATATTTTTATTTAATAATTTGTAATTTAACGTCAGTTTTGACGGTAGTGACTATTTCACATAATAACGTCTATTACATTTTGTTAGATGTTAATGTTTTTATGTTATTTTCAGGACTAGTGATAAAAAGTCAAAACTGCCCAATATCAACGCATGTAGAAACTAGTCGCGTCACACCTTATGTTAATTTTTCTACTCTTCGCACTTCATCTACAACTTTTGCAATCGTTCAATCAAATTCATTATCTACTTTAAGAGATTCCGAAAATGATCTCAACGCATCATTATCTACGCAACATATCTCCTCGAGCTCGATAACCGCAGCCGCAAGTATTTCAGCTTTCGATTCTGCGCTTATATCAGTAGCTCAACAGGTAATTAAATTTTTAATTCATCTTTTGATTTTTTTTATGAAAGGTAAAATTATGAAAATACATAAGTAACATACATAAGTAGTTTAAGAAAGATACTAATAGCTTCTGTAATAACACACAGAATAGTCGCAGTCTAACGTCCAACATAAAATTTTGACAACGGCAGCAAATAAAAAATCAGAGAATCTTAGTGGTATCAATCCTGATGCCTTTTCTTATAGGCTTCCTTCGTTATCATCTTCCGTGTGTGGATTGTGATGCGATATTCCTTACATGGGGTACAAACGCTGCGCATTTCCTTGTCCCTCGTTGGTGCTGCAGCCGCTCCTTACATGGGGTGCAGTCGCTGGCACTTCCGACTTTCTCGTTGACGCATTAACTGCTCTCATAAGGGAAGCAAACATTGTGCACTTGCGCGTCCCTCGCTGTCATTCCGGTGTGGGTCTACTCTAACACTTAGTTAGAGTCAGCGTCTACTCGGCTCACCCTCCGACGCCTGACTGGATTTTAGTCGCCATGTACGACAGGTATGCCTTACCACGGGAATATTCTATCCGCTATCCCGTAGGGGTGAATATCTTGTGTGTGTGTGTATTTTGCTTTAGGTTTGATCACGAGAGGCACTTCTTTTTTAAATTCTGCCACTTTTTTAATTCTTTTGAGTTTGTTTGCCTTTAGTGCTTTTACATATGAAGCTTCCTGTGCACTACTTGGTTGTAAGGCGCTACTTTGGACTTCTTTTAACTCTTCCCAGATATAATTGTTTTAGTTACTATTGCTTTAAATTTCCTCCGGAAATTTTTCGTTCTGAATTTTAAATATTTCTGCGAATTCAAGAATTTTTTTAACTTTCATAGTATTCTCTTCACACACAGGTTTCACTTTTTTCAAATTCTCCACGCACTGGCTGAATTTTGTTTAATTGCCGTTTGCAAGGAATTTACCTCATTTTCGCTCTTTTGTTGGGCACTATAACAATTCTTAGCTAGCCTGTCTTATTCTTTTTGAATAAACGAGACAAAGTTAACTGGTCTTAAACCACAAAATGAATATAATCTATCTACAAGTAGATAGGAAACTTCTTTTCGAACAATTTTGTCTACCATTTCATTACCTGAAATTCTAACGTAAGCCCAAATCCATATGGCCCATACCTAATTATATTAGCTAACAAAATTTAGCTCATACTTCATCAGAACTCTTAATAACCTTTTATGAAAATTTAATATCAAGTAACACCTACTTCTCAGTTGGGTTAGTTTCTCTTTAGCTCCAACAATTTCATTCAAACACACTTCATTTTCACATAAATTTCTGCTTGAAAAATAGTTGTGCTTTTGTGTAGTGGTTCTACTATAGTATTTGACACTGCTCAAATACCTTTTCTTCAGATCCTTTGGTGAGGAAATAACCGTGCTGACACATTCTATTCTATCTTGCAAGTTTTAAATATATCCTTTCATCTATTTACATATAAAGCCGGGCTTTATATTCCACAGCTATGAAATTTCAGAAATGATGACAACTGACCCAATGATATCTTTCTTGCGTGAAAATATAACGTGTTTAAAACTAGACAGAATCTGAGTTTGTCAATAGACACTGAAGACAGACTAAACTGCTGGCATGAGTGTAAGGTCCATTATTCTAAAATCAAAAACATGACCATGAAATACGAGGTTTGAAACTGCAACCATCCGGAAGACCTAGCACATGTGGCAACATTCGGTGAATCAAGCACATCCACACACACTCTTGTGACACGAAATAAAAATGTCATTTAAAAAATACTTGAATAACATCATTAAAGCGATCAAACAAAGCAGATAGCCGTACTATCCCATAACAATCCTTTAGCTTTGTTTTCAACCCATAGTGATAGAAAATCAACTAAAAATAATAAGTTGAACTGTCAGTGTAACAGTATTGAGTATCTTTTAAAACGAAAAGGCACTTGTACTAGCTAAATATCTAAGTAGTCAAGAAGAAACCCATCGCATAGGGCCAAATAACAACCTAAATGACAAAGCTATTCTGCTGATAAAAACCAAAGAAGCAACTGGAACATCAAAAAGCTAAAGTTAAAAATATCTTTAGGAAAATATTATAAGTAGAGAGTGTTGTGTTGAAAACACTACCTTCAAAAGGAGTGGCTAAACTTGCATAATTATTTAATAAGGGGATAAAATTAAATTATGTCCTAAGTTATTGGAAAGTTGCTGAAGTGGTGATGATTCTAAAACCAGACAAGGACCAACATTTTCCAGCCTCGTATAGACCCATCTCACTTCTCCCAACTGTATGAAAATTATTTGAAAAGGTCATTTGTAAAAGAAAAAATAGTTTAGCAAAGGAATCTTATCCCAAATCATCAGAGTTACGCACGAAATCGAAAAGGCCTTAGAAAACAAGAAAACTTGTTAAGCTGTGTTTCTTGACATCTCAAGGGCTTCTGACAAAGTCTGGCATTCCGACCTGATACATAACCTAAACACTATTCTGCCACAGCAATACTGGATTCGTATATTGGCACAAAGTGCTATCGAGCTAAACTATATGACGCTTATTCTCAATTATATCTTATAAATCGCGGGGTCCTTCAGGGATGTATTCTAGGCCCATTGAACCTGTTGTACTTATATGGCTTTACAGTGAACTCAAGGTGCATTGTGGAAACTTTTGCAGATGACACGATAATAATGACTACAGGTCCAAACAATAAGGTGTCTACCACCACGCTACAAACAGCTCTTCAAGGAACCACGTAGACTTTACTAACAGAAGAGATACTCAAATTTTATTATTTCTAAACAGCGTAAAAATTCCAGTTTCGAATTCTGCGAAATATCCGGGTATGAAACTAGATGCCAAACTAAGTTGGAAGGTTCACATCAAGAAAAAATTAACTGAGTTAAATATTAGATATAAAAAACTAACATGGCTTACTGGAAGGAGATCTAAAGTATCTCAGCAAAACAAACAAGTCTTCAAACCTATACGGCGTCCAAATTTGAGATTGTGCAAAAAAACATATAATAGATATGACACAAAGGTTCCAAAACAATGCACTTAGGGATGCAGTTAACGTTCCGTGATATGTGAAAAATGCTGATCTACATCGTGCCCTTGAAACACCTTTTGTCAAGCAAGAAATACAGAAGGCTGCTAAAACACATTATGACAGACTGAGTCAACACTTAGATAGCAGTATTCCGGCTTTACTTAGCGATGTTACACACAAACGTTTAACTTACTTTAACCCAAGGACCTTTTGAGGCGTTTCAACCGGCAAGGAGATGACTAGCTCAGATCTATATGCTCAGTTTAGATAAGTAACATTACTTTTAAGATTAAATTAAATAACCTCTTGTTAGTCAATATGACTAGTTGTTGTTTATTTAAACTTTGTGCTTTGTTTGAGTGAAGAACGTAAATCATTATATAGTGAAATATAATAAAAGAAACAATATCAATACTGTGATGTGACAAATTTATGAATTGTTTTACATTGCATCATTTCACCTTTTTTAAAATATTGCATATTAAATAAAACAATTTATCCTCACACAGTTCATTATCAAAATTAAGCATATTATGTTATTTATGAAATTTTTGTTTAAGTTTATCTGCTTAAAATTTAAGATGCAACAAATTGTTTTTTCATAACTCTACCATTCCACCTCAATATCATTTTTTATATGAAAATACGAAAAATACAAATTTATAATATATAAAAATTTAACATTTGAAAATAAAATTTTACTAACAGTTTATTAGGTATAAAAAATAAACAAAATAGATTCAATGTATTTTAAGTTCTAATTTCAATTACTTGAAACTTTCTTTCAGTATGCAACTGCTCTGAGAAATAATGGTTCATCTGGTTTATTTTCTTTATCTCAACATCCAATAAACTTAGCAGCTATAGCATCAGCTCAAAGTAAGAGTTCCAGCATAGCGGATTTGCGAATGAAAGCAAAAAAACACTCGGAATCACTTGGTTTACCTACAGAAAATATTATATAATAATATTTCTTTTTTTTTATTTTAATTCTTAAATAAATTGAATATACAATTTTAATACAAACGGAAATAAAAATTTTTTTATAAACTGTATGACCTAGATAACGAACCCATTTTATTCGCACGCATTTAAAATACTATGCACCAAAAATATACCTGCAGAACGCCACGTAAGAATTATAAAGCACGAATTGTATTTCCTGTTGGATGCAGAAGATCTTTCTCGATGGGTAACGCTCGCATGTTACTTGTCACCATCGGTGCCGTAGTGCTGAGCATAAGTTGGAGCAGCCGTCAGGAACATTTTTTTTCCAGTTTAGGTCAAGTAGTTCTTGAGAACTGAAAGGAATTTTCGTCTGCACAGAATTTTACTGTATTGAAAGTCATTCCCACTAGGTAAAAAAAGCTTACTCCTAAACCGAGATTTGGGTTAGAGCAAATGTTTTCAGTTGAGATAGGGCTTCGCAAATTCGGGTTTAGTATGGTGGCGTGCCCTATGTTAATTCTAGATAACCGGAACAGAGTGTTGAGTCTGGGCTTTATTCTATTAAGAGTCATTACTACTAGGTATACAAAGCTGAACCCCAAATGGAGATTAGGGTTAGAGCAAATGTATTCAGTTGAGATAGGGGTTATCATGTTCAGATTTAGTATAAGAGCGTACCCAATGTGATTTCTAGACAAGCAGAAGATAGCATTGAGTCTGGTTAATACTAATTTAACTTGTTACCAGAAACCTAGAAGGTAGGCAATAAAGCAATTTTAGGGCTCCAATAAACCCTCAGGTACAATTAGGTCGGCCTTATATTATCAGGCAATTTTATATAGCACACCTTCTTAATCGCACCCCTGTAAAAACAGCCATATAAAGAAGAATTGGTATAATGATTGCTGTATAGAGCCAGAGTATGATTCAATGATAGCTTAGGATACTCGTGTGGGTTTTTATATTGTAGTAGGAAATATCTTAGTCTTCAACCTAAGATTAGAGTCAAGTACATGACGCAAATACCTGACTTTCCTTTTTAAGCTAAGCATGTGTCTTCAATTTAAAATAAGAAAAAGGTAAAAATATATTACCGAATTCACCGCACTATTTTGTCACAGTGACGAGTGAAGAATTAATAGTTTTCATAAAATTTATCTGACGTAACGAAAGTAATGTTTACAACTTTTTTATTATACTTAGTTTATTAAATCTACTTATTCCCTTAAAAAGTTTTATATATATATTGTAAAAGACTTAAGTGTTGATAAATTTAAAATAAAATAAAAAACTATTGTTCCAATAGTTTGAGCAATATATTCACCTCTATGTTTCATAGAAGTAGAGAAAAATGCCGGAGGTGATAATTCTTATGTTGATGAGTACCTCAATAAATATCACCAAGCTTACGTTAAGGTTTAGTTCTAATAGGAGTTTTATAATGGCATTATGGCATTGTTCAAGGTTTCAATATATGAGCACTCCATTTGATTTTAGTATGGGTCACTGAAAAGGCGTCCAAAAGAGGTAGGCCAATCTTCATGAGTACCTTATGCGCGAAGACCACATTCCCACTCTTTGGCTGTGGCTTCCTATCTATGAAGTAAAAGAGTCATTAATACTCTCTTACTTCAGTGTGAACAAGAATATAGAATCTGAATTTATATATAGCATTTACATATACCGTGTGGTATCTATTTGCATTTAATAGCAAACTTAATTATTAATAAAATAAAGTCGTTGGAAAAGCATATTGTCCTTCCCTTTTTGAGTCAAGTAAAAAATGAAAATTTTTAAGGCAATTTTAGAGTGTTGTTAATTCATTCGCACAACTCTCTAGATACCCAACGATTTAAAAGACAGTGTTGTTCTCGTCCGACATCGGTAGGATACCGCGGTATAGTGACATCTTGTCAAAAATGTTACATATTTAGTGTAAATGTTATTTATTATTTATTTTACTATTAAAGAGAATTCCTGAAGTCCGTCTTAAGTTTACAGTAACTGTCAAATTTATTGAAGTTTGCAGTTTTCACATTTATTGTAATTTTTCAGCACCCTTTTTTAAACTATTTATATACACTAAATCTTTTGTGTTACTTTTTTAAGCCTTTATCGTACAAACATCCAAAATGTCTCTTTTTTAATGCTGCCACCATGTTTTTATGTTTTTTCGTCTTTATGTAATGCTGGCACAGTACCCCCTCCTAGTGGCAGAGTTTGGACGACGGCGCGCTACGAATGTCGAGAAATCAATGCAGCTACTCGCGGTAGTCGCACAGCTTCGCTCAAAAACGCACTGATCGACCAGAACGTGTAACCTTTGAAAAGTCAGATGGTGGTTTAGGGACCTCCTTCTTGTATACTTCTTCCTTCTCAAAATTGTCTAAGAAGGTTGGCGAAAGCTGCTTGCTGATCTTCTTCATTGCTGGTGAGGTAAGCTGGTTTCAATCTGTCTACTGCGACGGTGTACCTGCTCCCTCTCTTGTTAATCACGAAATTTTTCCCCCCCGTTGCAGTACTTGAAAAGGTCCTTCATATGGCTGTTTTAATGGAGCTTTAACTCGATCGACGCGCTTGAACACAAACTTACTGACTGGACGATGTCCGTGCCTGCTGCCGTTGATCGTCTTCAGCTGAGCCAATGTTTTACGTAGTGTTAAAACGAAATCGGTTTTATCTGGTTTTTGGCATTTTTGTGACAATAGTTGTCCACGTACACGTAAAGGATTTCCGTATAGCATTTCAGCAGAACTGACACAAGATCTTTCTTTGGGGTAGTCCTCAATCCCAGCAGTATCAATGGGAGTGTACGCGTCCAGTTGTTAGTGTTGTGACAACGCAAATCTGTTTTCAACGTCCTATGCATACGTTCAACCATTCCATTCGCTTGGGGGTAGTATGCTGTCGTGTGGATGTGTTTGATGTCCAGTAGTCTGGATAGTTTGCGAAATATTGTTGACTCGAACTGACGTCCTAATGTGAGGCACACCATAATGCGCTACCCAACCTTCGATTAAGGCACCCAACCTTCGATGACTTTGGTAGTTATATCTGGTACAGGCACCACCACGGGCCACCGTGAGAAATGGTCGATGCACGTCAAATAGTATCGTTTACCCTGGGATAGTGATAGTGGTCCGATGATGTCTATGTGTACATGCTGGAAACGTTCGTCTACACCTGCGAAACTACCTATAGGTGACTTGGTGTGACGATGAACTTTAGATAGTTGGCGTGAAATGCAGTTCTTAACAAACTTAGCTACGTCTTTTGCTAAAACGGGCTAGACGAAACCTGCTTGAATCAGTTTGCGTGTCGCTCTTACGCTAAATTGTGTAGTTTTGTTATCAGTAACTTACGGCAACTGGCTGGAACGAACGGTCGAACATTGCCCTTGGAAATGTCGCAAAATACTTCAATATTGTATGTTCAAGTAGCGCGCGCAGCTTATCATCTGAAACTTGTGCCTTTGCTATCACGTCCACCTCCGCTGCCTCAAATTCGATTTGTGCAATACGTGAAAGTGTGTCGGCCACGCAATTGTCTGCTCCAGCAATATGGCGGATATCAGTGGAGAACTGGCTGATGAATTCTAGCTGCCTAACGCGCCGTGGCGATGTCTTCTCACTGTTCTGTCTGAACGCAAACGTAAGTGGTTGATGGTCAGTCAGAATGATAAATTCATGCCCTTCGAGCGCATACTTGAAATGTTGTATAGCTTCGGCGATGGTGGTCAGTTCTCTGTCGTAAGCGCTGTATTTTAACTGTGCCGTGTTCAACGCCTTCGAATAGAATGCTAAAGGTTGAAATTTGCCCTCTACAATCTGCTGTAGGATGGTACCGACTGCCGTATCGGAAGCATCGATGGTCAGCGTTATTTGGGAATCCGACGCCGTAAATTTGAGTATCGTAGCATGAGCATGATTTTGCTATTGTCGTTTTAGCGATTTCCAGGAGTAAGATTGAACAAACATCGCTGATTGCTGACGGCGTTGGGTAGAAACGATCGGTAAAAGTTAATCATCCCCAGGAAACGCCGTAGCTCCTTCACCGTTGCTGGGAGCGGAAAATGAAGTATCGCAGCTACTTTGCTTTCGGGAGGCTTAAAACCGTGTGCGCTGATGGAGTGACTTAGAAATTCCATCTCGCTGTGCCCACATTCGTACTTGGCAAAATTTACCGTCAGACCAGCTTGGCGAAGACGCTCAAACCCGTTTGAAGATGTACTCGATGTTCTGCAGCGTCTTTAGAAGCAATCAGTATGTCGTCAATGTATGCGAAAACAAAGTTTAGCCCAGCCAAAGTTGCGTTGATAAATCGTTGAAATGTTTGGGCTACGTTTCGTAGGCTAAAAGTCATAAAACGGAACTCGAACAAACCAAAAGGAGTAGTAATCGCCGTCTTCGGTATGCCACATTCTGCCACTGAAATCTGGTGGTACGCCTTCTGTAAGTTAACTTTTGAAAAAATGCTTTTGTCGTGGAGAATGGTTGTTATATCACGCAGGAATGGAATTGGGTACCGGTCCGGCTTTGTTTGAGCATTCAACATACGATAATCGCCGCATAGTCGCCAAGTGCCGTAATTCTTCAGCACCATATGCAATGGGCTTTTCCCAAAGACTCTTTGACGGCTGACAGATTCCCCTTTGTAATAAGTATTTGAATTCCTTCTTTGCTTTCTCCAATTTAACCCCAGAAAGACGTCGTGGTCGAGCAAACGCTGGAGCGCCAGTAGTCTGGATGAAGTGTTCGATTTGCGTGTTGCAAGTGCGATAGTTATCGCTCAATGTGGCTAAATCACTGTATTCGCTCATCAAGAAATTGTAGTCATTTGCAATACGGTTGACTCGGATGCTGTTCACTTGCCCCTCTCCTGCCGAACCTTCTTGTTATTTCCGCTTCATGTCAATTAGTAGATCGTAGTGCTTCAAAAAATCTGTGCCGACAATGGAATATTTTACGTCTGCAACCACAAATGTTCATGGGAATTCGCGCCTAAACCCAAGGGATAA